GGCAGCAGCGTTGGTGCCGAGCGGCACCGTTTATTGGAGATACAAATAAATACGGCAGGTGCCCCCCGCGCCCCGGAGGCGGGTTGGCAGGTCGGGACCCTCTGCTTTCCCTGCGGGCTGCACTGGCACCAGCCCCACAGCTCCCAGGGCAGCCCGGCTGCTCTCTCCGGCTCATCCCCATTCCTCTTTCCGGCTCCCAGCTCCTCTCTCYGGCTCCCGGGCTCATCCCAGCTCCTCTCTCCGGCTCCCCGGCTCATCCCGGCTCTGCTCACCTTCTCCAGTGCTCATCCTGGTTGCACTATCCTGCTCTGATGCTCATCCCAGCTGCACCAACCCGCTCCAGGGCTCACACTGGCTGCTCTAACGTGTTCCCAGCTCATCCCAGCTGCACTAACGTGTTCCCAGCTCATCCCAGCTGTGCTCACCTGCTCCGATGCTCATCCCGGCTGTGCTCACCTACCCCACTGCTTATCCCAGGTGCACTATCCTGCTCTGACGCTCACCCCAGCTGCATCAGTCTGCTCCAAGGCTCATCCCGGTCGCACTACCTTGTTCCCAATGCTCATCCCAGCTGTGCTCACCTGTTCTACTGCTCATCCCGGGTGCATTATCCTGCTCAGAGGCTCAGCCAGCTGCACTGACCTGCTCCAAGGCCCATCCCGGCTGCTCTATCTKGTTCCCAATGCTCATCCCAGCTGCTCTGTGCTACTCCAAGGCTCATTCCCAGCTGCACTCAGCTGCTCACACTCACCCCTGCCCTCCCTGCAGCGCCAAGGTGGGCACCCTGCCCCGACAGGGGCCATGCCCTGCTTTTGCCTTCTCTTTCTTCTCTTTCGTTTTAACAAAAAATAAGATAAATTATAATAAATTTAACCATACACAAGGGGATTACATGCGGACGCCGCAGCAGCGGGCGCCCTCTCAGCGCGGCTGGGTCAGCAGGATCTCCAGCCAGCAGGGGCAGGAGGTGACRAACTGGCGCGAGTAGCGGGGCCCCCAGCCCTTGGCGAAGCTGATGCGGACGCTGTGCGGGTCGCAGGGCCCCTCGGCGGGCGCGGGGCGCCGCGCCAGCCCCGCCGCGCGCTCGTAGTCGAACACCTTGGCCGCGTAGCCCGGCGGCACCCTGCGCACGGCGGCGCCGCGCCCGCCGGGGGGGCCCAGGGTGGGCGAGTCGACGAAGATGGGGTGCTCGCTGCGGTTGTAGGCCCACACGGCGCCCGGCTCGCGGCTCAGCAGCAGCCCGCGGCCGATCTTGCGGCGCGCGCGGCGCACGGCGGCGCTGCGGTTGGCCGCGCGCAGCTGCGCCAGGCAGAAGCCGCTGCCGTGCGGCTGCTCGCCGAACACGCTCACCGAGGCCTCGTGCACGGCGTAGAGGCGGCCCACGCGCGTCCGGTGCTCCCAGTAGGCCAGTTTGCACCAGGAGGCCTCCCTGGCGGCGCTCCGCGACGGGCTGGGCTCTGGCGGGGATGGGGACAGGGCCCGGCTGGTGCCACCGTGCCGGCACCGCGGCCCCCGCGTGCACGGAGCCCCGCGCGCGAGCTCGGCAAACACAGCAATTAGCTAATTAACAACCCCCCGAGGTGGGTGCGGAAAGGGCGTGCGGTTGCTGATGGCAATGAATTCATTAACAACCCCCCGAAATGGGGGAAATGCGGGGAAAGGAGGTTGGGGGTCCCCGCGGGAGCGGGGCCGGTGCGTGCCGGCACGTAGGCGGCCCCGGGGGGGCGCGGGGCCCCCGGGCGGTGGCGGAAGGTGGCGGCCCGCGGGCCGTGGCCGGCAGCCAGGCGGGAGCCGCGCTCCGTGCGTCAGGGCGCATTGTGTGCGGCGCCGCGGGCAGCGCTTCCTCCGGCGGGGCGCCCGGCGCCGCCACCACCAACAGGAGCCACCGGGACGGGGAGGGGACAGGACCCAGACCGGGCCCCAGAGCCACCGGAGAGACGGCGGGGAGGGGGACAGGACGCAGCCCGAGCCCCCGGAGCCCCCCGTCCCGGCGGCTCCCACCTGCTCCTTACCGCGCTTCTCGCCGCCCGGCTCCGGCGGCTCTGGCCACGACGGCGCCGCCGAGTAGGGGGGCGGCGGGGTCTCTGCGGGCACAAGCGGCCGGTGAGCGGGGGCGGCCGCACCCGCCGGTGTCCCCCCCCGGTTCCCCGCCGTGCTCACCGGGCGCCGCGAGGCGGCTGAAGTGGTGCGGGTTGCAGCAGAGCGCGCCGGCCTCGCCGCGGCCGCCGCCGCCCGCGTGCTTGAGCTCGTGCGGCTGCCGCAGGTCGGGCCAGCGGTAGAGGCGGCAGAGCAGCAGCTGGGGGGCCGGGGGGGCGCGCGCCGCCACGCGCACGC